TGCCCAAGAGTGGCAGCAGGATCCATGAATTATATTAGAGAAGGGAGACCCATTCACCCGCTGAGAGTGCCAGTGACAGAAACAGCTACTTCCAAGCTCAGGGCTTAGAGCTGATGGTTTGAAGCCCTAGGGTTTGGGGTGGGACTGAGAGGTTGGCCTGAGGTTTGACTCCTGCTGATGAGAAGCTTAGCTCAGCCTCTCTGTCAGGCAGCGAAGTTTGCAATCTTTTATGGCCCTGGGAGGAACTGTCCTGTTGCCCACATTCCACAGAGATCAAATCTGTATAGTCAATGACATGGTAGGGTTGGGTCTTCCAAGGCTGCAGAAGACCACTGGGCGGCTGCCTGGGGACTGCTGTGAGCTTGATAAGTTAGCCATTATGTTTTCTATTGAGTTTAGCTGTGAGCATCCTGGTATGAGGCTAATATCTGACTTGGAAGGTGGATCCAGGGCTGCAGGTCAGAAGGTCCTGTGTTCCAGTATCAACTCCTCCACACCGTTTACTGGACACAGCTTGCTCCTCCAGGTGGTCTCCTCTACTTCCCAAGGGGCCGTCCTCCCTCGGCGTCCTCCAGCCCAGCGGTGGGGCTGTCTACACTGCCAGCCCCATCTACAGCCGAAGCCCTGTGAGCCCAGGGGAGAGGAAGCTCTGTGTATCTTTTCACTGCAGTGCCCAGGGCATCCAAACACCCTGCGCTCACACTTGACCTTAGCTTAAAGTCCGTGTCTTTTCTAGGACAGGCTCAGTGGGTTTTGCCATCATTTATGTCTCTCATTCTCAATTCCACTCTGGCTCATTTTTAGGAGGTGTAATTGAAAAATATCTGGAATGTTTGAATTTTTCAATTATCAAGAGTAAAACCCACATTGCGAAAAACGATGGCTTTGTGTTCCAGGTAAGGGAAAGCATTTTGAGGGGATTAATGGCACTGTGTGTTTTAGTGTAATGTTATTTCTGTTAACTTCCAAAGTGACCTTTCCTAAGGAGAGCTTTGCTGTCACAGAAGCACAATAGGAAAAATGCTCATGATGTGATTCATCCTTCTAAGTCCAAGCAAGGCTGCTGCAGCCCAGCCTGGCTGACACCTTTCTGCAGAGAGGCTCTGCTGAGCACTGTTGCCAACCTCTGCTTTTATGCTATTCGATGGCTTTGGGCAACTTACTAAATCCTGCCTGTCTTCCTTCCTCCGTCTTTCTTGGGCTTGGTAATCTTTCCCACTGAGGCGTAGACAGTTGCCTATTCTGGCCTTCAGTTTCATGTTAATGAATGAGTTCTACATTCTTTCATCCAATGTGGACGTAGGGGGGTGAAAATCAAGGTGAAACGCTCTTGTCTCCTGGTCACTGTTGGGAGTTGGCAGGTTCTCTTTATCTTCAGGTTCTGTGTCAGCAGATTGAAAATATCCAGAAAAAAAAAAAAAATTAAAGCTGCTTCCATGCTGAACATGCAACTTTCTTTCTTGTGATTATTCCCAAAGTAATAGTTAGCAACTATTTTACAAACTAAAAAAAAACCACCTCCAACTATTTGCATAGCATTTACATTGCGTTAGGTTTTATGAGTAATCTACAAATGGCCGAAGTATAAGGGAGACGTGAGCACGCTGGGTGCCAGTAACACCCCAGTTTAGACAAAGCACTTGGACACCTGCAGTCTGGAATCAGAGCGGGCTCCTGGAGCCCACCCACTGCAGATGCTGACTGTAGTTCTCAGTGAATCAGAAGCACTCAAGCTTCTTCTGCTTTTGGTCTTCCAGCAGAAAAAGACACTGCCTTGTAGGAGGCTGCTGAGAGGCAGTGGGTTGGTCTGCTGGGACTCCCTGGCTGGGCTTCACAAGGAACAGCGTGGTGTGGCCGGGCATGCGCACTTACTTACCCAACGGCCCACCTCATTTCTGCATCAGTGAGGTGAGACTGCTCCCCAGAGGGGAAAACCCCAGGAACGAACTGGGCACCCCAGTGGCACAAGCCACCCCCCTCCGCCCTCCTCCTCCCCTCTCTCCCCGCACACCCAATCTTCACAAAAGAGGAGCCAAGAAGGATTTACAAAAGTCACCTATATTCCAGCCAAAATATCTTTAAAAAGAAACCCCTTCGAAAGGGGACCGGACTACCTAAGATGCAATACATTTAAAATATGTATTGAAATTACAAGTCAGACACTTCCATGGGATTCCAAAAAGTACAAAACGCAACCAGAGAAAGGCATTCAAACAGGGCTTTTGTACATCACAGTGTCAGTGGCACGAAACAGACGGACGTCGCAAAAAGACACAAAACTGAATTCATTGTTTTTGTTCGACCACCACGTGTCAAATACATAATGTGTAGGTGCGCATGACTCTTGCATGCATATTTTTATACGAGATTAAAAAATATCCATAGCCAAGTGGGCCAAGAAGAGAAACAAAGATCAGGCACGTAGCTACCCTAACTGAAGGCTCCTACAATGGTGGAAGACGAGATTACACAAATTAGAGGGAGGCCATGGGGCTAATACAGAACAGCGTATGTCCGTAGTGCAGCCCGCTCTGCTGCATTTCGGGTTTCTGATAATAACTCAGTAAATCTCTTTGGATTATTTATTTTCATAAGGGCTTATGTTAATTATAAGGAAGAAACAGGCTTTGGTATTTTTGTAAGAGTCCTTCATGAAGCTGTATACATGCGAAATATTTTCCCTCCATGGATTGTGATTCACAGAGATAAATATACACAGGGGTGTTAAGAAGTGGGGATCTCCGAAAAATCCAAAAAGCCCAGCCTGGTTCTTTCCAATCCCATGTTTGAAGACTACCAAAGGAAAACATTTTTCTCTTCTAATTTGTTACTTTTTCCTTTTGTAACAGAAGTGAAAAGGGTAAAAAACTCACCCTGGTGTCATTTCTGTGTCTTGGCCACAACCTCACCCAACAACGGAGCCTTTGTTCTTGTCAGGAATTATTGGCCTGAGTCCCAAGCTGGGCTTTTTGTTGTTGTTTATTGTTTTTTGTTTGTTCATTGTGTTTGTTTGCGGAGACAGGTTCTTGCTATATAGCTCAGGCTGGCCTTCAACTCACTATGTAGCTGGGCTGGCCTCAAACTCACAGCAATCCTCCTGCCTCAGCCTCTTGAGTGCTGGGATTATGGGCGTGCAACACCACACCCAGTCCAAGTCAGTTTTAAGGAGTAACACGCAGCAGAAAGACTGTATCCCTCTTGAAATCAATACAGAGGTGGCAGTGCCAGTTCCTTGGCCCGAGCACCTCCAGGGAGCTCTGGAGGGAGAACTGATGTCCACAGTAATTCATGTGACGCTGGGCTCAGCTCGGTGCCAGTTCACCTCTGGTCCACAAGTACCAACAATGACTCTGTCTTGAACCTGGTGGCCCCTTGTGAGGTGCAAAGCCCAGGTGGCTGAGTCAGGGATCGGGCACATCTGGTGAAGCCTGGTAACAGAGCGTTGCCAAAGGGCCTCAGACAACTGCTAGGTCCACTGTGTCCTGTCAGAGTCCCAGCTGGTCAGCCCTGCAGCACAGTGGCTGTGCCACGGATCTCTCCCCAACCCTGGGACTTAACAGGCTCTGCGTGAGTGGGCATCAAGCTCTTCTGGCCGTCTGAGAAGCACCTAACAAAACGAACGTCACCTTTCACATGGGAGAAACCATGCTGGGTAACAGGAATGAGCCCATCTGCTGAGCACAGAACTTCCCGGGTCACACTGCCGAGAGACAGTGGGACCAAAGCTCTCCTTTCCATCTTCTGTTTGCATTTTACACCATGCAGGGCTAAGACTGCATCCCCGGAACAAAGGGCCCGGCGTTCTTAACTCAAGGCGGCCACCAGCGAACAGAAGTGCACACATCGCAGTGGGGCCCAGCTAACCATGGAGGGAAGGGCAGTTTCACTTTTATTACTAAGTCCCACTGAGCAGATGGAGGTGGTAGTGGCCAAGTTATGGTCCCGGCTCTCCCCAGAACTGCTGTGGTCCCTACCTGGGCCAAACCACGTGCTTGCAAAACACGTTGCAGGGGAAGGCACAAGGGCAGCTGGGGCTACAGGTGTGCATGGTCCGGCCAGAGACTCCCCCGAGACAGAAGGCCACCCTGTCCCTCTGGGAGTCAGGGTGCCAGAGCTGCTGTCCCAGAGATGAACCTTCCAAGGCTCTTCCTCCCAGCCCAAGGGCAAGGACTATGCCGCAGGCTTGGGCACTGAACTAGAGAAACCGGTCATCACACAGACCTTCACATGGGCCACTGAAAATAGGGCCACAGGCCTTTGATAAACATTTTTAGTGGCAGAGACCAGATGGCCACATTGACGAACAGCAGGTGGAGGTCCAGAGCCACCACCACTGAGCAAGGCATGAAGCTGGTCACCCAGCCCAACATCTCCACTACACAGAAGCCCAAGGCCAGGCTTTGCCTAGAAAGATAGCCACAGCCCGACCTCACTTAATGACTCAGCTTTCACACTGCATCCACAAAGAGAGCTCTCTGGACACAGTTTTGATGTGGGCCGATCTTCCAAATGACTTTACTCTCATGAAGAAAATCAGGACTGGAGGTGAAGAGAGAAGTGGTTTGGTTTCTTTGTAACTGTTCGTTTCAAGAAATAAAGAAGAAATTTCTAGACAGAGAAGAAGAGGGCCTACAGGAATGTGGTGTCACCACACACACACACACACACACACACACACACACACACACACACACACACACACACACACACACATACACACAAGACAACCACGTTTTAAAGATGTGCTTGCAATGCGCAAAAGAGGAAAAGGATTTTTTTGTTTTACTTCCTTGTAGATCACTTCATAAGTCTTGAAATTGCTGTAATAAGTTTGCAACATTTTCCTTTTGCTCTCACCAAGCACAACAAGCAGTTGGCTTTGGAAGTCAACACTCCATAGGGGAAAAAAAAAAAAACAAAAAAAAAACAGAAACAGAAAAACACTTGTTCTACTTTTTGGTTTTTTTTTGTTTGTTTGTTTGTTTGCTTTGGTACCGGGGATCAAACTCGGGTCCTTGTGCTTGTGAGGCAGGCCAACGAACCGCTGAGCTAAATCCCCAGCCGTTGCTCTTTTTGAAGTCAAATGATATAATAACTTGTGTCTTGCTATTGATCCGTGCACTGTTACCATGGAAACAGTTGCACACCACCCACCCTGTAGAGGTCCAAGTGGTAAAATTCCCACCTCAAAATAACCAGGAGAAATGGAAGGTTTTCTTTTGTCCCAGCAAGGGTAAACTGGCCAGCTAGAGGACCTGTAAACTGTGTGAGACACATGATTTTTCAAAATTAAGTAAAGCATTAAAAAAATGTGGAAATCCAGAAAACTCCTGCCTGGTGTCCAAAATTCCCCCAGGCTCTGGCAGGAGGCCCTGCTTTTGAGGATGGATTATGCAAGTTTCTTCTTACTACTTGAAAACTGGGGCAAGAGGCTAAACCATGGTGATTCTTAGTAGAACCACGTCCAAGTAAACACTTGGTTAGAAGAGATGAATAAAAAGTATTTGCTGCTGCCTGGTGACAAGGGATGAACTTTACAGGCTGAATCACCAAAAAAGGAATAAAAGGCAAATCTAGCTGAGATGTTCCTTTAAGCATGTCAATATTTTCAGAGAAATGCAACAAATACAGGAACCGTGTTTATAACAGTACACAGCTTACAGCATTCAAAAAGTTATTACAGCAAGTTTCAAGAAAAACACAGAGTGCGTAAGGCTTTCTAATCTCCTGAAAAATGGTCAAGCCAGAAAAGTCGTTTCACTATAACTTCTTAAAATGCACATTTCAAGAAAGGCATAGGATGGTTTATATGCACCTTTTTGAGTTTCACTACTCGGTTGGGGAAAAAAAAGCCTTCTAAAAAGGATTTTACTAAATGCCGTTAGGAATAAAAACAGTTGTCCTAAACAGAGTGCTTTTCTCAAGTTGGAGTAATGCGATTCCGTCTGAAGAGAGCTGTGATCCTTAGAAGACTCCTTCTCCCAACAGCACGGCGCCATCTTGAAGTCAAGAGGAGACGGACCATGTGCAGGTAAGGTCTCCTAAGTTCTCACCGGACACTCCTAGTTCACTCCATGGGGAGCAAACTGCCTAGCGTGCTTCTTCCCACACCACCAGTCAGGTCTACAGAGGCTGTTCTGTGGGCTGTGCCCCACCATGCCCTCCGTGCCTCCCCATGCCTCGGTGACCTCACCTGGGGCCTTGGCGAGCGTTCGGACATTGGTCCCTGAAATCACGGCATCCAGCCTGACACTGTGAAGCTCAATGGGGCACATAAGGCAAGAAAAATGTTTAGTGAGAGGGAGACAGTGGGATGGGTGGGGGAAGAGCCACATTTTCTGGAAACAAGAGTCTCCTTCCCGTATCGTCTTCTTCTAGGTTGGCAGTGGGTCATCGTCACCTTTACTGCACTTGCACTTGCAGCAGAGTACAAAGGGGGTGGCCAGGAGCAGAAAGGGAGAAGCCACCAGGAGCAGGAGCCCAAATCCAGCAAAGATGCCCACAACCTGGAAGAAGGAAACCAAAGGGAGCAAGTAAGAAGGGCTGGTTTGTAGGTTCCAAAGCTGAAATATAAGCCTCATAACTACCCACCATCCATCCATCTGTCCTCGCGTCCATCCAACCAGGCATCCAACCACCTTATCACCCACCCCCCATTCATCTATCCATCCACAGAAGCACCCACCCTGCATCTATCCACTATGGATTCATCTAACTATGCATCTATCCTACCATGCGTCCATTCATCCTTCCATCTACCCAGCCAAGTATCCACCCATGGATTCATCTACCTGCCATCCATCCACCATCCATCCATTCCTCCTTCTAACCATGATCCACTGTCCATCCATCAACTCTCCCATACGACCAAAAATCCATCCATCACCCATCTTCCTGCCCTTCAGCTATTCCCCTTCTCTTTCTATCATCCCTCCACCCACCCATCTATCTAACCAGCCATTCACCCATCCTCCCACCCAGCACATATATATTCATGCACAGAACCACCTATCTATGCATCTACCTATCTACTCAAGCAGCAATTCACCTCTCCATCCATCCATTCATACAACCCAATCATCCATCACCCGTATTTCCTTTGCCTTACTTTTTCCCTTCCTTCATTTCCCGTATCCTCCCTTCCCTTCTTTTCCCTCCATCCATCCATGCAACCAATTAACCAATGAGCCCCACCCCCACCCAAAAGCCAGTCTGAGCCAGACTGGGCTCCAAATCAAACACCCTTGAAATCTTGGTCCCAAGGAACACTCCATCTGGTAGAGACCAGGATTTAATCAGCCAACAAAGGGACATCTTCCTGACTACTGGGCTCAGGTACAAAAGGATTCCAGGTGACAGCTGACAAGTACCAAAGGAAAGAAGGGTTCCCAATGGGAGATGACTATAGAGATGAGGAGAGGGTTGGTATGCAAGAAGGAATCCCTAGGTACACATAATGCTGAAAGGAATGGGCAGCGAATGCAGACGTGGTTCAAGGAACACAGAGTCTGCTTTGCTCCTGCCTGGCCCTGCCAATCAGCTGCACTCTCCTAGGCCAGAGTGCAGACCTGCGTCAGAACCAGGGCTAGCCTGCCACCTAGTGTCCCGAGCGGTAAGTACACAGACACAGGGCATGTGGCTCTTATTCCAAACCCACTTCTCCATGGGCCTGTTTTCTCAACTGCAAAATAAACCAATGAGGCTAAAGCTCTCTGAGGTCCATTAGCAGCTCCAAAATAGCCTACTCTACTAAAGCATCCCAGATGTGTGAAAGAAAGGTTACCCTGACTTGGGTTTTGAAAACCAACACACACACACACACAGTGTGCAAAACGTGGACATTTATGCAGACTGTGCTTGATGAATGGTGTCACACTGCTTTGATGAATTAGATGGTGCTGATGCTAAAGACCCGCTGCTGCTGCCCCATTGGAAATGTTCATTTGCCAAACATAACATCACACAGAACATAACATCCAGCGTGGCATCACCCAGAGCTGATGCGACTGGGCTCTGAGAAAATCTCACACACAGCGCTATGTCAGAATCCCTAAGATCATGCAGTGAGGTCTTATTTGGAAGGCACATTTGTGAATCTCTACCACCTGGCCCAGGATGGTCAGCCTCAAAAAAGCCACACATGCTCTGTAGTCAAATCCATGCCTCAGTCCTTGACCACAAGCTCCCATTCTTGCTGCCGAGGTGCCATCTCAGTTCCTCCTCTGTCTGTCTGGCGTCTTCTTTTGCAGGCCATCTGAGAAGCTATTATCCAGCTATTACCGAACAGCGATGAGGAGATGCAGATATTGCCAGGAACAGCAGGCAGGAAGTGAGAGGGGCAGATATCACAGAGCAAAAGCAATCAGCGAGCAGGCAGTGAATAAATGTCAGGAGCAGAATCCAGCACTACAGCAGCCACAGGGTGGGCTTTTGTTGAGGCTCCTGACTCCTGGAAGTCGGTGCCCAACACACATTCAGTGACACCTGTCACGGCGAGCCCTGGGCTCTGCACAGCAGTTATCTGCTCACTCCACGGGGAAGGCAAGAACTCACTCTGTGGACAATTCCACACCGCCAGACCGAGCGGCACCCTGCCCACAGGAAGTCTCCACCGAGAGGTCCCGGGCTGAGCCCAGCTGCAGAGGAACTGACTGTGCGGTGAATGGGCTCCTGGCAGAATCTGCCTCCGAACCTCACTCAAGGGCTGGGGACTCAAAGCAACCGTGGGATACCTTTCCTTTACCAGGACCTGCAGCATAACATGTGCCAAACGGGACACAGACAGGACACACAGAGGAAGAAATGGGGATAAAGACCTGCCGCTATAGCAGGAGCAAGGAAGAGAGGCAGGGAGAACAAGGAAGCTTGGCTGGAGTGGAGAAAGGGGGAAAAGGAGAGACATGACTGCCAAGCCCATACATTTTCTGGGGACAGGGTCAGGCCTGCGTAGCGCCCGTCAGGTGCAGCTGGTGAAGGACAGGATGACTAGCCCCTCGGACCCTGGTCACCAGGCGTTGGGCTTCCCAAAACCCCACACACCTGCCCAGAGCCCTGACTGGGGAGAACTCGGGGTCAAAGTCACAGAAGTCCATTGGGAAAGGCTGGCTCCAAGACCCCAGGGCAGACACACTGGCAGTGGGGTGTGCACCACACAGCAGGGCCCCCTGAGCGTGTCCAGGTTGTTTCATGTAACAGCTTGACTGAGACAGAATCCACATCCCAAGCACCTCACTGACTAACAGAGCAGAAAACAACACATTGCTTTTCCCCCGCTGTCTTCTCCTGGTAGCAACCGGTGCCTCTGGGAAGCTCTGCACTCCATGATACCCAGGGACAAGGGATGCACAGCAAGGTCACGAGTAACACACCAGGATTACGTGTGAGGGGCCAGCGGGAGCCACGTGTCTAGCTCTGCCTCTTCGTAGGGCAGATTTTCCACCACTGGCAAACTTCTAAAGACCACACACACCACGCACACATAATGCACTCCCGTGCGCGCGCACGCGCGCGCACACACACACACACACACACACACACACCCTCTCCTGAGATCATAACTCCAGGTGAGCACCCTCTCACCTGTGTCCGATGCCAGATCACCGAAGCCCGGGAGTGGCCCAGCTTGTTGCGGCAGGGTCCCTTATCGTAGTGGATCAGGAGGAAGTCGTCCTGCGAAGCCAGAAAAGGGCAGCGGTGAGCAGGGGCCTGTGCTTCCTCACTCCATGGATAGGAAGTGGAGAGACAGGGTGGGGACAGAGGGGAAGGCACGCACTGCACATCCAGCTGCCATCACCCGGTAGCTATCTCACCTCCCAGAAGCAGCCCAGCGATCATGGCCAGCCTGGTGCACAAGGAGCTTGGAGTCCAACTTCAGTCTACGGTGCAAAGCAGGACACTGCACCAGGGCTCTGCTCTGGGCTTGCAGGAAACAGCGGATTGCATGCTGGCTACCAAAGGGACAGGTCCATGTCTCTGCCCCGAGCTCCTCCTTGGCCTGACTGTGTCTTACCACTCCTCTCCACCACAATGGGGTGGCTCCTGACATCAGACCACGGGCTTCACCCCAGTCCCCCACCAGTGCCAGCTTCTCCCCTCAAAGTGCACCCTCCAGCACCAGGACCAGAATGAGCTTCCCATTCTGCAAGAACCCGCGGTGACCATCTTGTCCCCATGACAGCTCCAACTGAGCGGAGTCCACACTGAGCGAGGTCCTCCTTCTGGGTGCAGTGCCCCCTCCAGAGGCCCTGTTTGTCTGGGTCTCCAGGACAGTCCTCCCCACACCCTCTCCCAAAGGACGCTCCCCAGAATGGTGCCAACCATTCTGCCCAGGACCATCAGCACCATCCTGGGTTTTAGGGTGCAATCCCAGGGACCCCTGGAGGCTCAAAATGCCTGCAGCCGCTGACCTCACATTCTGTCCCAGATCTGCACCTGTCTAAGGTGGGGTAGGTGGACTTCCAGCCCCTCCAGCTGGACCTCTGTCTCGGACAAATCCTCTTGGCCACTTCTGTCCACCTCGGGCTCCTAAGCCCTCCTCCCTCTGCCTCAGCTTTGGCAGGCCCCGCTTCCCGGACACCCACCTGGAGCTCACGTAAGGCTCTCAGAAAGGTTCTGTAACCGTTTTCCTCAAACAAGCAAACCCTGCGGCCCCCGGTGTAAAAGCCTCTCGGAGCTGGTGCAGTGGGTACATTGCCCACCACGGCCAGTGTGGCACCGAGGCCTCCGCCTCTGCTCATGGTGTAACAGGCACGGAAAATGCAACTTTGAAAGTTAGGGATTTTTTTCTTTAGTTATTTCTTATTTTTTAATTTTTACAATTTTTATTTTTATTATGTTTGCAATGTGAAAGGACCACACTCCTTTGGGAAGCTGGGGCATGGACATCACACATCTTTATTTATGCTCTGAGTTTCTTGTATAAGAGAAAGCACATGAAATTTAAGCTCATGCGTCTGATTTATTTCACTAAATGTTATGGTCCCAAGGAACACCCACGTTCCTACAAAGGACTCCTGGGTGGGTTTTATTTCCTTTAGAGACAGTGGCTTTTTCACACTTCCTCTTCCTGGGTATAACTGCACCCCAACTCTCCGAGACAAGGGCGGGGACAGAAACAGTGCAGCGCCCTGGGTTAGGGGTTCCAGGTTCCTCCACCCAGAGGGGTGGGGAGGGCGCTGGCCTGGAGGTGTCTCCAGTCTACTCCTTAGACTACTGGCCTGAGCTGGCTTGGAATAAAGACTTTTTCCTTTTTTCCACAAAAAATGGCTCCTTTGGGTTTAGTTGAAAGCTAATGGACCTGTGTGGCCGCTAACAAGGCCACAGGCACCCTGGTGTCCTTCTCCATCCTGTCCACTCTTGGCAGCTGCTGGCCTCAGCGCCTTCTTCCCTTTTCCTGGTGAACAAACTCTCACTGGGCCTCAGCAGCCCTGCCGAGACCCGACACAGTGTGGTGCACCCTGCAGGCTGCCAGCAGGCTTCACACCCATCCCAAGTGGCCACTTCCTCTTCCTAGAGATGCTGGGGAGCTGCATGCTATGGGGTTTCCGGCAGGAAGGACCGGCTCTGCCACCTCAAGATCTTCAGATCAGCACCTCTGCTGACACTCAGCATGGTCTCCAGAAAACCAAGACAGGCTTTCTTAGCCAGGCCTGGGGGCGAGCACTCTGGGAGGCTGAGGCAGGAGGACCATGACAAGTTCAAACCCAGCCTGTGTAACTTCAGGACTGAGCAAAGCAAAAGAGCTGGGGATAGAGCTCAGTGTAAAGGCACTGGGTTCCATCCCTAGGAACACACACACACACACACACACAGACATACACACACAAACACACTGACAGGTGTGTTTTCTTGCCCCTGACTGAGGCACTCTCCTATGCCTCAGAACATACGTGTGGGTTTAGTCCTGATGTTGAAGGCACCAATGAATCCCTTGGATGCAAAGACACCAGGCACTGCCAGGAATCTGCCATGATTTCTGTGGTAGGAAACATTTCCTTGCTACTGTTCACAGACGTCTCATTAAACTCGGACAGGAACAATGGCACAAGCTATAGAAACCTAGGGCAAAAATACACCCTGGAGCAGGCTGGCTCCCCAGGGTTTAATGCCTCCCATGGAAATATGGCTCCGAGCATTCCACTCTGGATATAAAAGGTCAGAGACGGAGGCCGGATCCCTTGCTCACCAATCAGGGACTCTGAAGAAATACTGATAAACCGCTCCCCCAACTTCCTCCTGGAAAAAGGTAATAGGGATCCTAACAGCTTGGTTACACCTGCAGTCCCAGTACTCTCAGAGGCTAAGTCAGGGGGGTTACAAGTTTCAGCTTCACCTGAGCAACTTCATGAATTACAAAGATGCTAAGAGTGGGAAAAAAAAAAAATTAAGAAGGCTAAAGGCATAGCTCAGTGCAAAGGCCCTGGGTTCAATCTCCAGTACAAAAAGACAAAAACAACAACAACAACAAAACAAAACAGCACACAGAAATGCTACAGGACTTAAATAATGATGTGCAAGGCAGGTGATGATGGGATAAGTGCCCACCACTGCAGCGTTCTATGAACCAGTGAGAGGAAGCCATCTCCTGTGACCAGCAAGTGCTGGGACAGCACAGCCGCTCACAAGTGGCCAGTCTGCAGCAGCAGGAGAAGGAAGAGGACTGAGTCCTCAGGATGACCACAGGAGATAGGATGGGGACAGTGCCCACACATCCTGCGGAGAGGCCAGGAGGGTGTGGCCCCAAGAAGCTGCCTCACCTCGACGTGCGAAGACCTCTGAGCGCTCCACCGCTCAGCTCAGGTGCTGCCAGTTGGACCTGATGCTCTCTGAAAGTCTGAATCTTTTATTTGCAGGGAGAATCTGGAAGGTCCCTGAGCGGAACCCTGCCCAAGGGGACTTGCTAGCCACATCCACAGGAGCACAGAGGTACAGGAAGCCAGCAGCCGCTCTGCTCTCACCAGCGCCCCGTTTGTCAGCCAGCCCCAGGACCATCACCCAGGGGCCACTAAAATTCTCCACACTCTGGACCCCTGCCCTCTCCCCTACCCAAACTCCCCAATACCAACCACGCACCCTCCTCTCAGGGCCAACGGCCCTCTGGTCCCTTGCTTGTCTGCACCCAGATGGCAATAAACTGTTTGCGAGTTGTGTAAACTTTGCCTGTTTCGGTGGTCTCAATTGTGCCTCAGTCTGACCTTATGGGAGCAGTTTTTTCCTTTCTTTTTTTTTTTTCCTTTGGTCTGATATTGAGGATGGAACCTAGGGCCTTCACACTGAACAACATCCCTAGCCCGTCTGTTTTTTCACTTTGAGACAGGGTCTTTCTAGAGTGACTAATGCTGGGCTCCAACTCGTGATCCTCCTGCCTCAGCCTCCCAGAGTGCTGGGATTACAGGCCTAAAACATGGTGCCCAATATGGAGAAGACCTTTTCCATACACACTGCCCACTCTTTTCCTTTTGTTCTGGGAGCCTCTGACTAGACTTGATCTCTGTCATAGCTACGTCTCCCTTCTGTCTGGAGTAGAAGTTCCAACAGAAAGCCTAGGCTTTAGTGTCTTTTTTTATAGATGTGGTCTTGTTACCACCATTTCTGGATCTCAGAAGGGCACTTTAGTAACTAGAGGATGAGGCAGGAGCAGTGCAGAGTGACTGCTGCATACCCGGGTGTGAACAGAACTGTGAGCCAGGGCAAACACTCTTCTCGACGCCCTCCTGGCTTCTTCTCCAAGACGCACTTTGGGCCAGCTGCCAGCCCCGTGGCTCTGACCCGGGTGGAATCGCTGTGAACGTCCTTGATAAACTGCCCACACGGTAACTTCCCTCTCCTTCTGCTCTACGCAAAAACAGCTCATTTTCAGCAGCTCTTCACTCCAGAGCAAAACAGGAAGCTCCTGGCTGCGAGAAAAGCTCGATGGAGGAAAAACACCCGGTGGTCTCTTGGGTCCACGCAGAGGCGGTACCAGAGGCAAGAACTGGACTTTAGGACCAGGTTGGGCAGGAAGGGGCTGCTTCTGGGGCCGCTGTCCAAGGAGTGAAACCCGGCTTCCCTTCTTCCTCCCTTCCCTTCCTGGAGGAGTAGCAGAAACCAGGACAAACTAAATAGCAAACACTTTCCCCACCCATTTCTAATGCTGTCCAGTGGAGGCCCCTAAGGATGTCTGGTAGGAAGTAAGAAGCCAGGTGCTTCACTTCCTTCTGCTTTAGAAAAGACAGCCTAGCAGTAAAGTGCAGGCCAGATACAGAGACTACACCACCATTCAGTGAGCAGCTTTCAGAACACCTGGAGTAATGGATAGGGATTTAGCTCAGTAGTTCCGCCACCTGCCTTGCAAGGGCAAGGTCCCGAGTTCGAGCTCCAGTACCAAAAAACAAACAAACACCTGAAATTGGGTACAAATGCAAAAAAGACTCTGTAGGCTTTGCAGTCCTTCAATTATCATCCCTAACCTGCCCTGCACACCGAACAAGGTCAGAGAACAGCCTGGACGTTTGACTTCAGCTTAAGAAAAGGAATCTGGCTACATACTCATTAAACTTGACCAGGAGGAGGAAATGAAAGCCTCCAGAGCAGAATGGAAATACTTCTGCACCAGATCCTATTGCAAATTAAGGAATTTAAAGTCAATAATAGGGAGAACAACTCCCAAAGATACAGAAATCTGATTTCTCAATACGAAGCTCTGTTTTCACATGCAATATTCCATCTCACCGAGATACTCCTTTACTTTCTGGCCATCCGCAGGACTCTTCTCCGAAGGAGGAATAAACTTTCTAAAATCCTTTCCCTCCGCCCACCCAAAGAGGCCCCAGGCCCCAGGTGACGATGGTGCAGCCACTGCTCTTCACCGGCTCCACACCGTGAGCTCAGCGCACAGTCCTGACTCTTATCCAGCACCAGTGCCGTAGACAGTCACGGTGAGCAACAACAGACCCGGGAGAGGAACTGTGAGACTGTAAGACACAGGCGCCGGCTCTGCGTTACTGGAGAGAGACCTCCCGGCTTCAGACTGCTGCTGTATAGGAACCGACACTAACAAGCTCTCACCACACTGCGCCGGGTTCGCATGGACAGCTGCTCACCGCAGTGCTTGAAGAAGTGCTTAACTTAGATCGCTGTTTAATTACAGCTTGCAAATATCTGTACACGCGGACTCTGCCAAAACGCCAGTCCCGGCATCATCTCTGTGGCAGGAAGCCAGCCCCTACCAGGGCCAATGAGGAGAGCGGAAGTTGAAAAGCACCATTTGCAGGAGCCCTGAGAAGAGCCTGGGATGAGGGTGTGAGGTGCTGGGGGGCCCGGGTCAGAACAAACCCACGCGTGCGTTAGCGCCTCTCTCCAAGCCTGGGCAGGCCCTGCTGCACAGCAGATGAAAGGCGTGTGGGGAACCCCAGGGCAGAGAGGTCACTGGGGGAGGAGGCACTGAGGCCATGGTCTTCTGGCCAGGACAGCCCGGGACACTCACTTCCTGTCTGTGAGGCGCACAGGGACAGGGCGGCTCCCACACCCCAACCAGCTCTACAGGGACCATGTGAGGCAGGGTCTCGCTGTGTGGCCCGGGCTGGCCTTGAACTCACAGCCTCAGCACCCCTGCAGTCAGACTTCCAGTCTCCTGGGCCCTGGGAAAGAAACCCCCTCCCTTAGGCCTCCCGTCCGCGGTCTCCCTCACAGCCCCGGACCTGGCCAGGGGCTCCCCACAGCAGAGGACCCACCCCTGCGTCTCTGTGCAGCGCCCCGAGCCCACTCGGCCACGCCGGCTGCCACTCACGTCCAGGGACTCCAGGCAGTACCAGCAGAAGGCGTGCTTGCAGTTCCTGCACATCATCTGCGCGCAGCCCTCATCCCGCTCGATGTAGACTCTGCACTTGGGGCAGCGCTTGATGGGCGCCGTGTCGTCGTCCAGCTTGAACCCAGCGCTGCAGGGTGGGGACAGTGCGTGAGCACTTGCACTGACCGCACAGGAGCACCACCCATAGCGGGGGCTGAGACCTCCTCTTATTAGTTGAAATACAACAAAGCCAGAGAACCAAGAGCCAGCCTGCTGAGGTGGGGCACAAGATCACCCTGGTGGGAGGCTGAGGCAGGAGGGTTGCAAATGGCAGCCCAGCCTGGGCAACTTAGTGACTTAGCAAGGCCCAGTCTGAAAACATAACAAGGCTGGGGATGGAGCTCTGTGGGAAGCCGCTGGAAGCAATCCCCAGTATGGGAAAGACAAAGAGAAAAGAACAGAAACAATTTGGAGGTTCTAATATGTTGTGTTTTGCGTAAGAATTTCCCCAGCACAGATAGTGGTTTTTGGACATTTCTGGTATCTGTGTTACCCTCAGAATTACTATTAATAACAAGGTTTGCTGCAGATTGAAATGTACAAAGGCAGCTAGGATTCTGCATCATCTAAACCCCCATCTGTGTGTGCTGGGTCACAGGGACAACTGACGCAGATAAGGAACTGGCCAAGTGGTAGACAGGGCAAAGGGAACACAATACACAGAGAGGCTGGGCCTGATGGTGCATGCTTGAAATCCCAGCTCTCAGGAGGCTGAGGCAGGAGGATTACCATGAGTTCATGGTCAGACTGGGCTACACAGTGAGTTCTAATCCAGACTGAACTACCTTGCCTCAAAAAACAAAACAAAACAGGCATGGCATGGTGCCTGTAATCCTAGCACCCAGGGAGACTAAGGCTGTGCCCAGTCGTGGTCAGTGGGAGTCTCCAGCAGGAACACAGAGGCTGGGCCCCCAGTCTGCCCCAAGAACTGGGACTGGGGACAGGGGGATGGAGCCGGGTCTGGCAGGTGGCCAGACATCTCCAGGGAAGGAGAAGAGCGGAGGAGGGGCGCTCCAGGAGAGAGCGGGGCACAGTGCACAGCCTTGGCCTGGACCCTGGGGCTGGCGGACTTGGGGTGTGAACGGAAGAACGAGGCCAAACCGTGAAACACTGCGAATCCGGCTGGGGAAGGACCCGGATGTCATCGGTTTCTTACTGCAGTGGCTAAATTTCAAGGTGGGGGGGCGGGGCAGAGTGCACCTGGGCCAGGAGCCCGGCCATCTGCTGTGGGGGCAGAGGAGCCAACGCACAGCGGGGCTTCCCCGCAGCCCTCCCAGACTTGGGATTTGGCCCGAGGCCTCTGGCCTTCATAACCCTTCCCGTGAGGTCCTTCCTGTGTCTGTGCCCCCAGCCCTGACCACCTCCAGCCCCTGCGGTCTTAGGGAGGGGGCAGGTGTCACAGGTGTCACATCACACCCTGCATGAAGAGTCCCACAGCGCCGGATAAGGTGACAGAGGCGGACGAGGACAGACTCAGTGTTTGTGGGAGCTGCCTTTCTGCTGGATGGCAGTGGCGGCAGTCCGCGTATCTTTTATCAGTTTGTAAGGACACTTAGGAAAGGACTCCAGAGCAGCTGCGCAAAGGGACTGTGCTGGAAGGGAGGGGAGGATCTGGAGAAAGAGGGCGGCAGTGCATCTTTTACTGTAACACATTTTCAAGGTGAAAATTCCCTCGTCAGGCCGGGGAGTTAGCTTGTTGGCACTACACTTGCCTCGCAGGCATAGGGTCCTGAGTCCAATCCCTGACTCCAGGAAGAAAAATTCCCTTTTCCGGGGAGGTGGAGTGCAATGCATCTTGGGGAATCCTGAGAAGCGCAGGGTCTGAAAACCTCAGAATGCACCACGGAGTTGTGTGAGTGTGGGAATGAGGGTGTGAGCAGGAAGGGTCCCAGGACCCAAAACCGGTGGGACTTGGGGGAGAGGGGGAGGGGGGATGGAGGAAACAACTAAACTCTGTTCTATGCATGTACGAATCTGTCAAAAAATGAAACCCATTTTTCCGTGTACCCAGTATGTTCTAATAAAAAATGTGAAAAAAGTAAACAGTGCTATAATAAAAAAGAAGTACGTTGCTGGGCGTGGTGGCACATGCCTGTTATCCCAGCACCTGGGAGGCTGAGGCAGGAGGACTGCCTCGAGTTTGAGGTCAGTCTGGGGTACAGAACCTGAACCCAACTCAACAAAATGAATTAAAGTACCACAGTACACTAGTGATTGATTACTTTAGATGGCCTGGACTCTGGGAGGCTGGCACTAAAGCTGTGCACTTTTAATTATCTAAAAAATAAAAGGAAATAAACCACCAAAAAGCCACAGGCTTCAAAGGCGGAGTGAGAGCTGAGGGTAGCGAGACTGCAGCCACAGCTCCCTGAGGCACTTCCAGAAGGGACGCATTCAAGCCCCTCCCCTCCCCCAGCCCCGCCCTCGCCCAGGGTACCTGGTCTCCCCAGGGAGGAAGCCAATGGGCATGCTCTCCGCGCAGCCCTGGCCGGGATGCCAGCGAGCCTTGCAGGTCGAGCAGAACTCCATATCGCAGGCCTTGCACTGCACCAGCTGCGGCGTCTGCAGCCCCAGGTCCTGCAGCTGGCACACAGCCTGGCAGGTGGACGCCGGGCACCAGGTCCGGCAGGGATCGAAGAGCACCTCTAGGGCAGGGGGAGAAATTGACACATCAGACCCATGAGGAAGACGGAAGGAGGCGTCGGCGGAGAGTCGGCAGCCAGGAACATCCGGGTGACTAAGCCAGAGGACTGTGGGTCTTGGCCTGCTCCCTGGTACGCCTGCCCTGCCCTGCACACCGGGGCTCAGCCCTGGGTCCCGTCACTATGCAAACCTACAGGGGCTTTGGGGAGAAGGGAACCCTGCTCCACTGTTGGTGGGAGTGCAGACTGGTACAGCCACTGTGGAAATCAATATAGAGATACCTCAACTAGGGTAGAGGTCCCATGTGACCCAGATACTCCCCTGCTGGGTGTCTTCCCAAAAGAATTAAAAGAATCATACCACAGTGATATATGCACACCCATGTTCATAATGGCACAGTTTGTAATAGCTAAAACTTGGAAACAGCCCAATTGCCCATCAATTGGAGACTGGATAAAGAAGATTGTGGTTTTTTTAAAAATAAAATGGAGTACTACTCAGCCATAAAAAATGAGAAACTAGAGAGATTTATAGCTAAGTGGATGCACACTGAGGCCATACTCTTAAGTGAAATGAAGAGGACACACATGTATAAATACTGAACAGTTTCTCTGGTGTGAGAAACTGCAAGTAAATAAGGAAATAAGGATCAAAATGTATAACACAAAATGTGAAACAGGAAGAAATGGAGTACTACTCAGCCATAAAAAATGAGAAACTAGAGAGATTTATAGCTAAGTGGATGCACACTGAGGCCATACTCTTAAGTGAAATGAAGAGGACACACATGTATAAATACTGAACAGTTTCTCTGGTGTGAGAAACTGCAAGTAAATAAGGAAATAAGGATCAAAATGTATAACACAAAATGTGAAACAGGAAGAAAAGGTCCAAAGGGGGAGGGGAAGTGGGAGGCGTAGAGGAAAGGAGAGAACAAGAAAAGATGGGGAAGAAATAGGCAGAGAAAAGGAAAATATGGAAACAAAGGTTTTGTAAATAGGGAGGGGTGGAGGGGTTGAAGGGAGGGCAGGGAAATGGGGAAAAAGTAAGATCCAAGATAGGTGTAAAGGTACAAGACCCCATGATGAATGTGACCATATTCTATGCCTAAAATGCACCAATACACTTAATGAATAAAAAAAATATTAAAGAAGGGCTGGGGACATCGATCCAGGTAGAGTCCCTGGGTTCAATTCCTACTACTGCAAAATAAAGGGGTGAGGGTGTGAGGCTGAATTATTCTAACCAAACGCTGAGACTGTCTCCCCTCGCAAGGTCTTGGTCTCAGGGAGTGGCAGGAAGCACCATGCAGGGATGCTGTAGTCCAGCAGCTGTGGGCTCTGCTCAGACCTGACTTTGGGGACACCCTGGCCTGTTAAAAAAATGAAATCCAATACTAACAAGTGCTGGTGAGGCTGTGGGGAAAAGATCCCTTCTACGCTGTTGGTAGGAGTGTAGACTCGCATAGCCATTGTGGAAATCAGTGTGGAGATTCCTCAAAAAATGAAAACTGGATATTGCATCCGACCCAGCAATTCCCTTGTGGGTATCTTCCCAAAAGAGTTAAAGACAGCATAGCTCAGTGATCCACACACACGTATTTATAGCTTCATTCATAATAGCTACATGTCCTGTATGTCCAGCAACACATGAACAGATAAGGAAAATGTATTTTTACACCATGGAGTGCTACTCTGCCATGAAGGGTGGACTTGAGTCATTTGTAGGGAAATGGGTGCACCTTGAGGCCATAAGGTTAAGAGCAATAAATCAGATGCACGAGCCTAAATATCACAATATTTAAATAGCACATGAGAAGCCCAGTGTACAAAAAGCAAAATATAAGAAAGATAATAAGAAATAAAGAGACAGGTCTTTCCCATATGGGAAAGAGGACCAAGAGGTGGAGGGAGAGGGAAGAAAGGGGAATGGAAAAAATTAAGATGCATTCTGTCCGCGAACCAACTCCCCCACAAGGAATGTGAGCATTCCATACTGCGAACGTGGACTCATGAAACGTTTTTTAAAAGCCAATAACACAGAGAAGACTCCAATGTGTGTTCTTCTCACAGGTGGCGCGGTAGCGCCCAGGAAGCCGCAGTGCACCTTGGGATGGCAGGAGCTTCCTCACAGAGGCAGGGAGCGCACAGGGCAGCACAGCAGAGTGGCTGGGAAGCTCCTCCCACCCTCGCACTGGAGTTGGCCAGGTGCGGGAACTGCTGCTCAAAGAAAAGCAGCTCCTTTCCCTGGCTTCCAGTGTGCCTAGAGCTTTTGCTAGGGAAGCCAGGTGCAATGGCTCACACCTATAATCCCAGCCCTCAGGAGGCTGAGGCAGGAGGATCACTGCAAGTTCAAGGCCAGCCTAAGGTACCTAGTGAGATCAAGGCCAGCCTGGACTACACAGTGAGACTCTGTCCAAAAAAAAAAAGAGAGAGAGGAAACAAATGTTTATATTAACATAAAAGCCTGTTAAATCAGATGAGACAGGCTAAGACTAAATAAAGACACATTTGCAACCTGAACCTGCTTTAGGAGTTTTTGTAACTAAGTGTTGCCAAGACTCCTCTGAAGGAGCGTCCCACAAAGCAAAACTTGCTTTCTGACTGCCTTGCGGATGTGATCTGTGGCCACGTTTCACTCCATCCTCACGCTCCATCTGGGCAGGTCTTTTGTCTGATTTCATCTGAATTCCTTTCTTTAAAAAATGTTTAGCGTAATGTTAGTTAAGCATTTTTGAGGGATCAGTCTGGAAGGTATTTTTCTAACCTGAGTCAAGTAGGCTTCATTTTATTCACGAGAGAGAGAAGGGGGAAAACACCTTTCAGACTAAGCTAAAAACCTAAACAAAAAAGTTAAAATTCTTTGGTAGGAAAATATATCCAGCTGCATTTTAAATGAAATGTGCTGTCATGGAAAGTTCATATTCTGGTGCCTCAAACAACTCCCAGTTTCTGTCAAGATTCTCTTTGGAAAATATTTTTAGAAGGGCCTGAAAGTCTTAGGAATTCAAATTAATCAATCTGTAGGTCCTCAAGCTAACTCCCACATTTATACTAGAAAATGCCTCAGAGCCCATCAGAGACTGCAAGCTTAAACAAACCAGCTCTTGAAGACAAATTTCACGGCCGTGAAAAACTCTGCTTTTTAAAAAAATTAAGTTGGCCATGCATTTGTAGTTGTGTTGCTTTTGAAAAGTGAGTCCCCAGAGGAAACCTGTCTTTAGCCACTGCTTTAGAAAATTAAAAAATAAAAATGAAAACAGATGACCCCTAAATACTACCAGCACTTTTCCCTGGTCCCTTCCACCCATGGTTCACACACTCTTGTGTTTCCATGCAAAATTGTGGGTCTGGGTCACAGCAGACGCGGGCAGGAACCTGTCCTGGGACAGCGCAACTGGACCCTGACCCCAGGGAGACACCAGCCATGCTGAAGGTCTGTGAACCCCAGAAGTGTCCTTGAAAGAAACCCTGCACAGGAGCACCTCCTGCCCGTCTCACCCTTTGTCCTTGTGTCTATTGGCCTCAGGCCCAGAATATCTGTAAAAAGGAAGCCAAATGGAGGCTGAAGCTCTTCAAAATACCATCTTATAGCTGGGCATGGTGGTGCATGCCCACAGTCCCAGCACTCTGGGAGGCTGAGGCAGGAGGACCTGAAATTCCAGGCCAGCCTGGGTAACTCAGTGACCCAGCAAGACCCTGTCTAAGATTAGAAACAGGAAGGGCTGAGGACACACCTCAGTGTGAAGACCCTGGGTTCAAGTCCCAGCACTGCCAAAAAAACAAAACAAAAACAAAAACAACTCATTTCATGATGTTTCAGAAGAAAACAACATGTTTCAGTGCTCTGCAGTTCGGTTCCCCAGCCCCAGCAGAGGCTAAGCCGTGCACACCAGCACCAGCTCCTCTGGTCAGGGTCCTACAGGCGCCTGGGAGGAGGGCTGAGAAGGCCAGCAGGAGGGGTCCTGCCTGGGGTCAGGGTCTGTCCGTGATCCCCACAGTTAGGAACTAGGGCAGGGCCGGCCCCTTGCTGTCGGCACAGCCGGGACTGACAGGTCTTGTGGCCTGGGACCTTGTGAGAGCAGAACTCAGTCACCCCCATTACCGGCATCCGGTGCTCAGCCTCTCGCCTCCTCCCACGCCTTTGGGTCATTTAAACTCGGGTCCTCTAAGAGTCTCGAAGCCACTAGACCTCGGCCACCCTGAAGAGTCACATCCCCAAGGCCAGGTCTCTCACGGCCCTGAAGCCCCTGTCCCTGGACAGACGCATGGTGAGCTCCTCCTCCGCTGCCAGCCGCTCGGACCATGCAAGGGGAAGCGAAGTCTCAGAACGCGACGTCCACCAACGTTTTCCCTGGACCACAGCTCTCCACGCGGTCTGATGGTGTCCGGCCCCCACCCCCATTCTACGGATGTCCTGGCTCCCCGGAGCGCTGCACCACCTACCTCTTTCAAATTGGAGCTTTTTGTATCTTTGCATTATTTCAGCTGCGACCATGCATTCGATCTAAAAGAGAAAAAGCAGAAGGTCTAACAAGCTGAGGGCTACAGCAAAAGCCACAGAAACTAAGCAGACCCTCTCTCTCACGCCCCCCCAGGCCGCAGTCTGCACGCACCTCCTTCTCCTGCAGGTGACCCTGCTTGGGGCAGGCCGCATCCGGGCAGCTGATCGCAGTCTCAAGTCCTTCCTTGATCAGGAGCTCCACGTACTGCTTCAGGCACTGGAAGTAAAGCGGAGAAGAGCCCATCAACACCTCTACCTCCAATGCAAGGGCCCAGGGGTGCATTACGGAAACAGGGAGCCACGTCTCTCTCGCCATTTCATGTTTTCTCTGGATAGCTCCTAGCAACCACTGAGCGTGAGGTCTGCAGGAGTGAGTCATGGGCCCGAGATTATGGGGTACCACCTGGCTCCAGGATGCATGCACACTGGATCAGAGTGTGGAGGCTGGGGTTACACAGCACGGGCAACGCCAAAAATCAAAAGCGGCGGCATGGGACGCGCGTAGCAAGAGACATTTCACACAGACGCAAGAGATACGGGGCACAGGCACCTTACTTATTACTTTCCTTATGGTCCATCCTTCCCTTTATTCTCCAGAACATCATTTGTTTTTCCTTGCAGTACTGGGGAGTGAAGCCAGGGTCTGTTCATTGAGCTCATTTTTAGTTGTTTATTTTGACACAGAGTCTTGTGAGTGGCTTAGGCTCAGCCCAGTCGTGCAATCCTCCTGCCTCAGCCTCCCAGAAGGCTGGGTTTACAAGCATGGGCCACTGTGCCTGGATAAAGGGAGCTCATGGAGCACTGAGGCTGGCTGAGTGCAGGCCTTCCCTCTGAGATGCCGGTGGCAGGGCTGTCACCAATGTCCAGAAGAAGGAGGGTGGGGACAAAGAGGGCGGTGACAGCAGGCATCCACGAAGGCTAGGCTGCATCGTGCTCCTGCTCAGTTCAGAGGGTGGAGAAGGACTGTCGTGTGGCAGAGAAGTGGGGTGTCCTGTTTCGGGGCTGTTAACATGAGGAGGGAGCATGAGTTTCGAGGGCTTTGGAACGTGACAGATAAGTACCCAGGATCCTCCCGTGAGAAGAGGACAAAAGGGGGACCCATCTGGTGGACGTAAAAGATGCAGGGTCTGAGATGGGTACGGGGGCACAGGCCAGTAACCCAGCACTCGAAGGATCGCTACGAAGGTGAGCCTGGGCCCTGCAGTGAGTTCAAGTCCAGCCTGGGCTGCACAGAGAGACCCCAACAGCACTGATGCGAATCACGACTCCTGGTGCCCAGCACCAAAGGAGAAAACAATGCCCGCTGCTCTCTAGTTTGTCACTCATGTGACGTATTTCGCACACTTACAGGCATTAAAGCCCAACCCTTAGCAGCAAGATCATGATTCTACTTTCTAGAAGTAAGTTTGACCAGATGAGGACTCTAAGGGATACTGGAATGTCTTAGCCAAGGAACGCCGAAGAGGCTAATGATGTTGGGCGGAAAGGAGACAGTGACGGCACGATTCCCCCCAGAAGCGGAGTACAGCAGTTAAAGCGGGTAGGAAATATGCGCTGGTGTGCACACAAACTCCGGGGCGAGGGCTTGCAGTGGCCTCTGGGATGAGTCATGTCTGGCTGGCAGGACGGAGAAGGGCCGTGGTCGCGCGGGAGGGGCTCTCCGTCATGTGCACAGTGGTTCTGCCCCCGGACGTCCTTCTGTTTACTACACGAGGCTGGGAGGCTCAGGCCACATCTCGTGATCGTCCACACAGCCCGTCTTCCGCCAAACAAAAGTGGGTCATGACTCATCTGTGTTTTCCCATCTAACAGCAGAAAGATGTCTTGGACATAAACGAAGAGGCAGACAGAGAAACATCTGCAGAGAAATACACAGCCCAGAAGCAGACTGTGACGCAGTCTGTGATCCCCAAATCTACTGCAGGTTTTTCTTGTTGCTTTGTTGCCAGTAGCAGGGATTGAACCCAAGGCCCATGCACTGAGCTACCCTCAGCCCCCTTTTTTATTTTGGTACCAGGGATTGAACTCAGGACCTTACATTTGCAAGGTAGGCACAGTGCCACTGAGCTACATCCCCGGCCCGCCAGCCCTTTTTTGATATTTTAATTTTCAGACAGTGTCCCTCTAAGTCTCTTAAGTTTCCCAGACTAGGCTGGAATTTGAGATCTTCCTGCCTCTGCTTCCCAGAATGCTGGGATTGCCGGAGTGTGTCACCAAACATGTCTATTGTTACTTTCAGAGCTCAAATAGCACCGGGCTCTGAGTTCCTCTTTTCCTGTCAGCCTTGAGTCTGATGAGTGTTAACCAAGGAGAACCAAGCCACTCTGCAAGCAGCGCTGCTGGGTCTCCAGACCCCAGGCGCCTGACTCTAACGCTGGTGGCGCTTTTGGAGCTTCGTTTTTTATGTTACTATCTGCTTCTTCCTCAGAGACTCCTCTCCCGTAAGTAATCATTTGCGAAGTGACTTTTGTTACCGCTGACTTTTTTCTCAGAACAAAGGATGACAGGGAGTCACTTTCACAGAGCAAAAGCAAAGCTGATCCCAGACACCAGGGCCTGGGGCCAGTGGCAGGAGAGACGAGTCACACACTGCACCCCGTGCCCTTTGCCATGTGAGGCTCTGACTGGGTGGGGCCAAGAAGAGGGCAGGAGAAGAATGTTTGGCCCAAGGAATTCCTGGAAGGAGGCCCTGGCTGGGCAAAGGCAAGGGCAGGGGGCACGGAGCCGAAGGACATTCGAGCTCTCTACCTTCCACTGTGGCTTCCCATCCCTCGGAACCCCACAAGGAGCCAGCCACTGCCTGCATGCACCGCTCCAGAAACAGGTCCCCCACGGGCCCACCTGCTTCACCTGCACTGCAGTCTGAATTCTGTGTCTTTTCTCCTGAGGGCCGCAGGCTCCCGACAACCCCAACAGCATGAGGAAATGCCCAGAAACTGGCCTCCCAGAAGCCTGTGCAGCGGGTGTGTAGGGAAGCAGAACATCACACCCAGGCAGATCCAAACAGAAGCAGCGGGACCCCAGGGAAGAGCACTCAGGTGGGGAATAGGGACACTTAGGTGGAATCGCAGAGCTGGCTTTGGATCCAGCTCACCAACACACAGCCTCCCTGCAGCCAGCCAGGGTCTTCCTCTCCGCCCTCATCCTCGGGTGTGCAGTAAGTGTGGCAGACACAGAGAGGACATCATGGGGTGAAGATCACTGAAATTCCCAAGCCTCCTCCTACCCTCCTGCACCCCTGAGAATGGATGCTCTGATGCATATTCCCCTCAGTAGGAAGTTGTATGAAAGTGAGAACTTTATTACTGTTCTCTCTACTTCCCATACCTAGCAGTGCTAGGAGTTGAAAGTGGAAGAGAGCACAGGATGGATCTGTGCTGCACAGATGGACAGACGGCAAGACGGATGGGTGGACAGATAGAGTGAAGGATGGATAGATAGATGGATGGGTGGATGGGTGGCTAAAGGCATGGATGGATGGATGGGTGGACAGATGGAGAGGATGGATGGATGGACGGACAGACAGATGAGAGGCACATGCACAGAATGAGCAGACGCCTGCACAGCGGCCTTGCCCTGCATCTCAGCAGAGGGCCAGAGACCTGAGACAGAAACTCCTCTGTCTACCTAGGGCTTCGGGAGGGCACAGCCGTGTGTGGGACTCTGCCGGTGGACCAAGCAGCACAGGATGTGGTCATGAAACCGCACAAAGGACTTTCCCTCGGTGGTGGGAACCTGGCACACTGCCTGTGAGCCCACAGTGCCTGTTCTGGCAAGGGTGGTGACCCTAATGGCCATAAGACGTGACTTTATCCACAAGTCACAAGAGTCCGAAATATGAAGGCTGTGTCTGTAAAAAGTTATTTTATTGCATTAAAAAACTCCAAACCTTACATTAAAAAACAACAACAACAAAAAAAAACAAAATGCTTTCAACTTCGAGTCTTCTTCGCCCCTGCCCTCCTATAACACTCTGGCTCCTGAACACGTGTGCTGTGTTCTCTGTAGCTGTGCCCTGTGGGACCTCGGACACCTTTTACGGTTTCTAGAACGAGTCCTCCAAATACAAAACCAGGAGGCAGATATGAGGCTGCAAGCCTCAAATCCCAGCACTCGGCAGGCTGACGCAGGAGGATCACGATTCCAGCCCAGCTTGGGCAACTTAGTGACTTAGTGAGACGCTGTCTCCAAATAAAAAATAAAAAAGGGCCAAGGGTTTAACTAGGTGGGAGGGGTTTTTTGAGACAGGGTCTCAATATGTAGTTGAGACTGACCTGGAACTCGCTATGTAGCCCAGGCTGGTCTCGAACTCAGGGAGATCCTCCTGCCTTAGCCTCCGATTTCTGGGATTAAAGGTGTGCACCACCACACCTGGCTGGGAGGGGAGGATTTTAATGCCAGGACCAAGTGCATTGGAACCAAGTGAGGGGCCACTCCCACCTTCTTGGCCCCAGAGCCGTTCTGGGAGGCGCAGAAATCTGCCCACTCCATGGGCTTTGCAGAGAGGGCGCAGAGCCCAGGCCTTAGGTGCGGCACAGTAAAGCAACATTGCTCCCCCTTGGCTTTCTCAGTGAGGTTTGGGAGGCCCCTAGCAGTCCAAGGTGAAAGAGAAGGACCTGTTTGCGGCCCCGGATCACACTGGTCCGACTGCCATCTGAAAACATGGGATCAGGAAGGGCCAGAGACACAGGATGGCTCTGGGCAACCAGCCCTGCCGTGGCCCCTGCACCCCGGAACCCACGCTGAGGCCCCATTCTCGGGGTGCGCTGCTTCCCCACTGCCCTGCGGCACCTGCTGAGCTCTGGCTGCCCGGGTGGCTGGAGTCAGCAGTACCTGGCCTGTGTCCACGGAGCCTCAGCCCCACAAACCCCAGCGCTGCATGGCTTGCCCAGGGCGTGGTGGCCAGGTGGCCACAGGGGAAGGAGAGTGACAGAGCCAGGGCAGCTACGCCTCTGGGGGGCGCCATCAGCCCCTCGATGTCTAACGAACGGCGGTGGGGATCAGCCCTGGCATCCTGCTCTGGGCCTCCTGGAGTCGCACACCCCTAACTTAGCTTTCTGCTGGGATGAGTGCTGCTTATTTATTTTGCCGCCATTCCCTGGAAGAAGGAAAGCAAAACAAGGAGAAGAAAATGAAAGCTGTGGACTAGTCCCCAGGGAGGCTGGGCAGTTTCAGGAGGAAAAACACACAGCTTGGTCTCTGGCAGCCTGCAGGTGACACCAGACAGCGAGACAGTGGGTGTCCCAGAGGCTTCCGCAGAAAAGGGCGGCAGGCATCGCCCAGGCATCGGGGGAAGGCTGATCATGTCGGAGACCCCCAAGCTTGGCCTCCAGAAGGAGCTGAGCCCACCCTGCAATAACTGTGCCAGGTCTCAGCTCTCCCCACCCCTCCCCTGTCCCTCCCTCCTCGGCATCTCTGAAATCGCCCAAAGCAACTTCCTCTCCTGTGGGTTGGCGATGTTTTCCGGGGCTGGAGCCTTAATGAAGCTCGTTTCTGGGACTCAGTGCTAGCGGGGATTAATTCACTTCTACTCGACCCTCAAGCCCCGATCAACTTGCAATCAGGAGCCTGAGCTTAGAAAGGTATTCAGGGGATGGGGGAAGCCAGGTCTTCTGGCCTAAGAAAGCAGCAGCTGGCAAGAACTCAGAAGACAGGGACTTACATGCTAACTAGTGAGGCCAGTGCTGCTGACCCAGGCGCAGGCAGGACAAGGGAGCTGGGCCTGCATCCCAGGGCCACCGCCAGCAGAACACAAATAAAGCCTGCAAGACAGAGGCATGAGGGCACACGGCTCTAGCGCTCAGAGGCAGGAAAGACTGTCTTTGAGTGGCATGTCCTCAACACCTCCTCTAAAAAGTCCACGGTTTGACTACCCACACTCCCACATAATGGCAACAATTAAATTCAGAAGCAACACTCTTGGGCCCTTTTGTTTGCTTGTTTGTTTTGAGGCAGGCTCTTGCTATGTACTTTGGACTCACTATGTAGCCCAGGTTGGCCTCAAACTTGAAATGATTCTCCTGCCTCAGCCTCCCAACTGCTGGAATTAGATATGTGTACCACCCCGACCATGGCAGTATTTACTTTGGGGGCTTTATTGAGATATAACTGACAAATACAGATTGTACACAAGCCAAACACCGTGGTGCATGCCTGTAATCCCAGCACTTTAGGAGGCTGAGACAGGAGGATCACAGATTTGATTTCTGCCTGGCCAACTTGGTGAGACACTATCTTATAAAACAACACCTGTGTAGGTAAGAGCACACCGTGAGGTCTTGGTGTAGGTTGTTGGTTTTTTTTCCTTATTTAGTGCGAACCCTCCAGATCTCACAGCAATCTCCTGCACAGGGTACAGCATTGAAGACCACACCCATCACTGCCCAGACCTCCAGAACCCTGTGTCCCCCAAAACTGAGACTTCAGCCCCTCTGCCCAACACCTCCCAAGGCCCTGGTAACAACCTCCCCAGCCCTCTGCCTTCGTCAGTTTACTTTTCCCCTCCTCCCTGGGCACAGAACCAAGTAAGATGAAATAATGGTAACTAAAAGCAAATCCATTTTCTTGTTTTCACTCGCTTTTCTTTTCTCATGGCTAAAAATCCTGGGTTTGAGTTAGGCACAAACCCAAAACTCCCTAGTTTCATTAAAAACAGATCATTGGGCCCTAAGGGACACTGGCCACTCGAGGGAAGTTCAGTGTGGTCTCCAGCTTAGCGGGAAGCAGGGCGAGATGACAGGAATAACCGAGCATTCCAGCCGGACACCTGCAATCCTAAGATTAGCCCTGACCTCAGTCAAGTGTCAAGTGAAGCATTGGAATCCAACTGAAAATGAGACATGCGGAAGGCTTTTTCCAATGGGATGAGAACATGTCAGGACAAGTTCTCTGGTTCGTGTCACTGTCCTGATTCTGCCGTCCGAATATCCATCTGTTACGACTCAGATGCAATTCCCCCAGTCTCTGTGTGTGAAAGGTGATGGATCATGTGTGCTGTGCCCATCAGTGGATCCACCATGGATGAGTTCAGGGCTGAGTGTGCTGTAGGAGATGGGGCCTGGCTGGAGGCGCTCACTGGGGTGTGACCTACAAGGGTGCATTCCTGTCCCCAGCTCCTCCCTGCTCTCTCTGCTTCCTGGCCACCTTGATGTAAGCAGCGTCCCTCTGCCAGGCCCTTCCGCCATCTTGTTTCTCTCTTGGATCCAGCCAACCATGGACTGGAATATGAGCAAAATCATAAACTCTCCTTCCTTAAGAGTTGTGGGTATTGGACACTTCATCCCTTGGACCAAAAAGTGATTAAGACACCCAGATAGGGGCAGAAACCTCCTAAATGGGCATCATCCTGACATACAGAACTGCCCCACCCCTTCACTCCAAAAGAAACAGAGCCAAAGCCTCAGCAGAGAGACCCCATCAGCCCACAGCAGTTACTCCAAAGCATGCCGGGGCTGCCTGGACACTGGAGCATAGCGCTCCTGCTGGCTTCGGGACCAACCAGGGTACAGAAGATGCACTGGCACTGGGCGATGGTGGTCATCTGCTCCACTGGGTACTCCCCGAGGCACAGCTTGCAGGACACGAGCGGGTCGAGGGCCAGGTCCCAGGTGGGCCGGTACCGTGCTGTGGTCATTGCAGAGCAGTCTGAAATGAGAGACATGTGGTGGTCAGCGCTCCAGCCTGGGGCCTCTGTGGGACCACTTCCGGGTCACGGGCCTGACTGAGGATGGGGCCAGGGTCCAGACAGAAGTCGTCCCGGGTCACGATGTGGGTCCACAGGCAGATCCTCCACCGTGCTGATAGTAACTTTGGTTTTATTTCCATTTTTATTGGTATGAGTCCACATTTGCAGGACATAGCGGACACCTTCACCACGGGAAGGAGGAATTTGTACACAATGCATCTTAATTCCACATTCACCAAAAATACGACCTAAAGGGAAAGTGCTGGCTGTTACCATGGTGATGGCCAGGGTCATGCAGAAGATTATAGCTCATGATCTCTTGCTCGGAGGCCGCTCTGTAAGGCAGGTAAGGGCCGCTAAGTGGGGCTGGCAGTTTTGATCGCTAGTTTTCAAGAACGATTATTTCCCGGTTAGGTCTTATTTGCGGGGAAACACGGTTCTTTTTATGTCCCCTTCCCCTCCCTCCATCTCTGGGTCCCTTTCCCTTTTGCAAAAGATCTACCTCCTTTCTTCCTGTTACCTGTCCTTTATTTTGCTCTTTAAAATACTTTGGGTTTCCCCTATGAGAGAAACCATGCCATATTTAAGCTTGCAGGCCTGATCTATTTCACTTAATGCTGTGGTTTTAAGGCACATTTATGACTCAAGTCTACCCATCTTTAGGGCAGAGTGCTACTCCACCGCGTTTCAATACCACATTTCCTGTATCCACTCCTCTGTTCGTGGACAGATAGGCTGCTTTCAGTCGTAACTCTCATGCCTATCCTCCAAACAGCACAGTGGCTCAGTGCGACTGCCCTGGGTTCCCCCACCCCATCACTTCCTGCTCTCCAAAGTCACGCTTCTCCAACTTGGACCTAAGCACTGTGAAATGTTTAGCGTCTGAGCTCATCTGAGCTCTCTGTACTTGCCACCCAAGTGCCAGCACCCAAACTGATACAGGTAAGTGGGGCGCTCTCCTTCGGAGCTTCCTCTGCATGCAGGAGGAAGCAGCTCCACGGCTAGCACGCGCTTCTACAGCGGGAGGCTGAGCAAGGACAGACACGAACGAAAGAAGGAAAGGGGAAAGGAAATAAAGAATCAGTAACCAGCAACAAACACTAACCAGCTCCAGGAGCTGGGAAAAGGCTGGGATGGACGAGGGAGACCCCGCCCCCAGAGCTGCAGGTCCAGCAAGGGAGCATTTACAAAGCACTTTGCCGGGCAGCAGGAGGTGACTATGCCAACCCGTGCCAAAGACTCCAAGTACACAAGACAGTTCACCTTGCTGGTGTGTCTGAGACAGGGCCTCCCTGTGTATCCAAGTCTGGCCTCTAACTTGCCTTATGGAGATCCTCCTGCCTCAGCCTCCCAGTGCTGGGATAACAGGGGCCTGGCACTATGCCTAGCACATCCTCACATCTTTCCCAGAGGATGCAGAGTACAGGGCAGGGACAGAAGGAACTGAGTTTTGTGACCAGACAGAACTACAACTCTGTACAAACACCCAGTACGAAGCGTGCTGCACCCTGCACCAGGCGGCGTGGATGGAGGCCGATGGCTAGGACACCCCACCCTCCGAGGCTCCAGTCTGTGCATCCCTGGTGGAAGGACACAGGTTCCCCATGGCAACCAAAAGGGGCTGACACAGACCCCAGGGCTGGCTGGACCAGACAGCCTGAAGACCATAATGCAAAGCAGCCCCTGACAGGCCCAGCTGATTCTGGCCCCATCCCCAAAGGGGTTTTAGGACCAGGGCTTCTTCCCAGCCCCACACGGGAAGTCATGTGCACTTGGAATATTCCTCCCACTCTGACTTTATTACTTAAAATTTTTGTTTTCTTTTTGACTTTTTGAGACAGGGTCTCCCTACGTACTTCACGCTGGCCTTGACCTCACTATGCACCCCAGGCTGGCACTGAACTCCCAGCGAAATCCCCCGTGGAGCTCCCGGTCCTGGGAACCTTCCCTGCCTCTATTCTGTCTGGCCATTTCCTCCCAGCTTGGGAGCTGGACTCTTCCTGTTTACAAACCCGGCTTCCTTGCTCTCTGTGCGGCCCCCAGACAATGCCACCTTGCTGGGTCCTCTCCTCAGTTCCTGCCCTGACCCGTAAACTATACCTGAAGCTGGTTCGGTTCCCACCCGGGACCACATCTGTGGTTTTTGCCCTCGGACTCCACAGTTGCAGAGCTGCACTCCGAATCCCGACCCCAGTGCCGGCCACAGGAGGGCTTCCCTGCTTTAAGTGTGTACCGTAGGGAGCCCCGAACCTCATCTTGCACACACTGAACAGCTGCAAATCTGCAATAGGAATCTGCTAAGAGAATCACAGTGCACCACACAAGAAAACACGGGCTTTGTTTTCATACTGTGAATGTCACGTCCTGGGAAACAAACTATTCTAAGAACATCTGGTTGATTACAAGTATTATTCAATTTAAGCAATTTGAAGATGTTTGCAAGAGGAGTCACTTACACATAAAGCGACACCAAGGTTAGGTGCAGAGCTGGGGGCTGTGGTGGGAGAGGCTCAGCCCCAAAGTATAAATAAGTTAAAGAACAGAATACCAGACGGATAATGGGGTGGGGAGGTGGATCTTTTGCAAATGGAAAGGGGACCAAGACCTGGAGGGAAGGCGAGGGGGAGGCAAAAAGAATGAAGATGTGGTGTACTTGTGCACCAACTGCGCAGTGAGGAGGGTCATTATGTCCTGCAAAGTTGGATGCATAAAAATAAAACGCAAAAACCAAGGGGCCTGCAAGCAACAGTAGCACAAGCAGGGAACTAAGGTCAGCTCAGTGCCAGTATTGGCTACAACCCCATCTGTGTCCTGCCCCCCGCCCCTTCCAAGCAGAGCCACGTGGGGAGGGGAGCCCAGCAGGCCTTCCCGCCTCCTCCCTCCGGTCCCAATCCCTGCGCTCCTGGAGCTGGCCTGGTCTCACTGTGAATCCCCACCAACTTTCTCCTCCTCCTCCCAGCTCCAATTCTGAGAAGGCAGACAGTTCTCCCCTTTGGTCCTCTGTGGGGTCTCCCGGCTGCTCCTGGTCCCTGCTGTGGTGTGGGGTCTCGCCAAGGGTCTCACGGTGTCCGGAGCTGAAGCAGGCAGTCACTGAGAGGTCCCGAGTGCACTTTCTGGGCACAGGCCAGACCCAGACGGCTAAGTCAGAAGATGGGTCAGGAAGGCTCAACTAGCTGCATGTTCATAAGCCTCCAGGGGACCCCAATTCGCAGCATAGCCTGACAGCCAGGGGTCTGTGTCGCCCACCTGGTAGCACTGCTTGCTCCTGCCCACCTGACACCTACGCCTGGCAGCTGGGCCAGGGTCTGCCCAGCAGCCTCCACTCTTTCTTCCTCACAGCCCGGGTCAGTGTGGCTTCCTTAGGTCTGCAGTGTGTGAGCCTGTCACTGTGCCCAAGGGGAGGTAGGGTACCCAAAGATAAGGCAGGGCACAGGTGATAATCCAGAATTACAGCGAATTATAAGGTGACAACATCCAATTAAAACTATTACAGTAAAGGACACATGAATCCCCTCAGAATCCTCCCCTCACTTTGCACACACTCCTCCCAACGCCCTCGTCAATTTGGGCAGCAACTCCGGAGTCCTCTTTCCCAAAGGTTTTATGAGTTGTGATTAAAAAAAAAAAATACAGTGAATGCTGCTGCCGAGTGCCATCCAACAGAAAGGCAGACTCCCCAAAACATGAAACTCCTCACCACCTTAGTCACCAGATCTGGCACCGTGGGACTCGCGGCTCTTCCCCAAAGTCAAAATGACCATGAAAGGAAAATGTTTTGAATCCATTCAGGACACGGAGGCAGCCAGGACAGTGCAGCTAAAGATCCTCAGGTTTCTTTATTTGTAATCCTTTAACTCTTTGGGGTTTTGTTGGGTGAGTGAATGACCCCAGAAGGGAAGGGTGTTCAGCAGGGCCCAACTAGACCCGGACACACCTTTTCCCTCAGGACTGCTCCCCAGTAACGGTCTGCAGGAGGAAGCAGAGCTTCCCTAAATTCAGGGGTTGTAGGGAGCAGGGAGAGTAGGCACCTAACCCCCGAAGGAGGCCCCATAGACCAGAGGGTACACCCACCTCCCTGGGCCATCACATTGCAAGGGCAGAGGGTGACATTTTCTCAGGAGGAGCTGCCACCACCGTGCACAGAAGGGGAGGCTGTGCCCATGAGATGGGCATGTGTACATCGAATGTATTAAATGTGGACTTTTAAGATACTACCTAGCTGGGCATGGTATCAAACACCTGCAAATCTCAGCACTCAGGAGGCTGAGGCAGGAAGATCACAAGTTCAAGGTCAGGCTTAACTACAAAGCAAGACCCTGTCTGAAAAAATAAGATAAAATAAAATAAATAAAATCTTGCCTAATACATCTCTTTACACATCTTACTGATGTCTTCTGAAAACTCTTCTGTGGTGGAAGCCAGCAAGAACCCGCAGCCTGCCCCGTGGGTGGGGTGAGTCACGGTTCCTCAGCTCCCTCTGGGGGAGCTCCAGGGATATTGTCAGACAGGTACTTTCTACCTTGAAGGTGCGCACCTGTCCGGGCGAGGGGCAGACTGGTCCCAGGAAGCAGCCCAGAGTTAGAGTGAGGACCAGTCCAGCCTGGCTGGCAGCGCGAGCTTCCTCCGTTCCTGGTGCCTGTGCCACCTGCGTCACAGAGGGCACAGATGGAAGACAGGGACGGGCTCTCAGGAGACTCCTGGGGTCCGAGAGGCGATACAGACTGCGCATGGCAGAGGCCAGTGGGAGGGCTCTGGACAAAGGCCCGCCCCGCCAGCCCTCTTCCCCCAGCTCCGCAGACCTGCAGCATAGCCTGGCTCCCAGAGCAGTTTCTGTCACGGCCCGGCCTGGGAAACATCTCCGTCCAGGCAGCGAACTCACTGCCCTGTCCAAGCCCGGCTGGCGGAGGCCACCCTCCCCAGAGCGCCGCGAAACACAAGTGCGAGTTTCGTACTCCTTGGC